CCACTCTGAGGGGCCTTGTGCTACCTCCACACTATGTAGGATATCAAATCTGTGTGTGTGTGTGTGTGTTGTGTGGAAAAGGGCCTGAACAGGAGAGGAACTAAAACTTATTTACTACTATTTGCTTAAGAATTTTTTGAATCTCCTTTTAAAAAATCTCATATTTATGGATATTTTACAACTCAATTTTCTTGTTTGTAAAAAAAAAACTTTCAATAGACACACAATATAGAGACGAGTAAAACAAATCTCCACATAACCATGGCCCATTTCCAGCAGCATCAGGATTTTTGCTACTGTTGTTTCACTAACATCCCACCTAAATTTTACACCTAGAGAGTTTTGAAGCACGTCTGACACACAGGTCTCAGGTGTGTGCACCAATCAGAAAACATCTTTAATAGATGGGATGTTTTATGAATGTACAATCACAATCCCTCTATCATGCCAAAAGAGTCAAACTATAGGTCCTTAAATTGACTTAAAATCCAATAAATATTTAAATTTCCCAATAGTTCTGAAGTATGTGATTTCTAACTGTTTCATTCCAATCACAATTCAAAGAAGGCCCATCGACTACAGTCTGTAGCCATCTTTTTCTGTTGGCAGTAGAAAGACCAGAGAGTAGCCACACTTGATCTTTATTGTGCCGGAATACTTGCACAATAGCCTTATTTGCTGAAAACAGACTTTGGAAAGCACAGAATGTGTGTAAACCTGAACAAGCTCCCCAGCCACTGAAAATGTAATCCCTACTGAACCACCAAAGCAAAATTTTGAGCTATGTATAGCAACAACAAACTAAACTTTATTTAAATGGTTTCCTTTTAAACCATAGAGTCCGTATACTTTCCTGTGTCTAATTATCAGCCACATGGTCCTGTTTTGAAGTATCTGGGGCACCTGCTACTTGGGCTGTTGAAGTTTTATATTTATGCACGCTGAGCAGCCTGTTAGGGAAGTATTGATTTTTCTACAGCAGTTACAAGATGCTGTGTTTGCAAATGTGGAACAAAGTGTGCACTTTATATTTAGTAAGAATGTGATTTCATCTAAAAATGGAAAGTAAAAACTTAACCATGCAGCAAGATGAGGGACAAAGGTCCTTACAGTAGCAAGGACAAAGCTTGTCCTTTGCAGACTATTCTTAGAGTGTAGGCAGAAATGGGCACAATTTTGGGGAAAAACATATAACTTTTCCTTTCTCTTGACAGAATATTTTTAGTTCTTCAATTTAGGAAATAAAGATAGTTAAGAAAATGTGTTCACTTATCATTAGCTGGCCCCTATTCTTTAAAAATATGATATTTTATGAAAACCCCAGTGTGAAGTCACTTCACATCCACAAGGATGTGGAGAAGCTGTAACTGTTGTGTTCTGCTGATGGGAATGTAAAATGGGATAGCAGCTATGAACACAGTATTGGGACGGCCTCAAAAAATTAAAAACACAATTATGATATGACCTGTAATTTTACTTCTGAGCATACACACCCACAAGAACAGAGAGTAGGACCTCAAAGAGACACCTGTACCCCATTTGACAGCAGCAGAGCCTGCAACAGCTATAGGTGGAGGCAGCCCAAGGATCCTTTGACAGATGAATGCAGCATATCCATAACAGCGGAATATTACTGACCCTTAAGAGGGAAGGGGATTCTGACACATGCTACCAGATGGGTAAAGCTTGCAAGCATCCGTTAAGAGAAGTAATCCAATGACAGGAAGACAAATGCTGAACTATTCTGCTTATGTGAAGCAACTAGTGTAATGAATTCAGAGATACAGAAAGTAGATATGCTACCAGGGGCTAGGGAGAAGGGGTAGCCTAGGCTACATATTGAGACTTTCTTCAAAACAAAAAGAAACACAAAACAAAAATAAAACTATATGATGATTAATCTTGATTGTGAACATGATTAGACTGAGAAATGCCTGGGAAATGATTAGTAAAGCACACCTCTGGGGTATTTGTTTCTAGAGATGACTAACAATGGGAAAAACCAGTCTTGAGTGTGGCAGCACAATCCACTAGGTTGGGGGTCTGGATAGAACAAAGGGGATGGAGATAAATCCAGGATGGAAATGTTTCCCTCCCTGCATCTTGAGCACCATAAGGTGAGTAGCTGTGACCCCTCCTTCCATGATGCTCTCTTTCACCACAGCTTAAACAATGAAGTCAGTCAATGTTTGGTCTGTGACCTCTGAATTGTGGGCTAAAGTAAACCCTTTCTCCTTTAAATTATTTTTCTCAGGCATTTGCCAGAGATGAAATCCAAGCTATTCTAAAGATGAAAAATTGCTCACAGGTAAGACTGGGGGATATAACAACCAGCTTTGAAAATTCTTCAACTTTTATTTAGGAGGCTCATCATAAGTTACAGGTGTCCTTGAACTCCCTCCCTTACCCCTCTAGCAGAATGGAAAACTGATCTCATTTCTAGCATATGTAAGAATTCAAGGCATCCCGACAACCAAATTCTTCTTTTAAAATAATACCCAATAAAATCTGCACTTTAAAATTAGACCAACTGAAAAATTTCAAGTGGCAAAATGCATTAGCAGCACAAGCTTATATCCTACAACTGTTCTTTGTAACTATTAAAGGGTGGAGGGTCTTGGTTTATGAACTCATAGCAGCTTAGTCATTTTACTAAAACATGGCAACTTTGCACCAGCCCTTTCTCTTGTTTTGCATATATTAGACAAAAGATTTAAAATGAAAAATTTCAAAACTAAGCTCTTAACAAGTATGAGGCATTTTTTTTACTGTCTCCAAAATAACTTGTCCATTGCCAGTTCTTCATGAATGCCGTTAATTTGAATTGACTGTGCTTTACATTAAATATGAAATATATCAATTATTCTCTAGTATTTTATGTATTCAACACCAGTTGAATGAGGTGGACATTGCTGGCCCACTGCATAATGGGACTGCTGCATTATGAGACCTATGTACTGCAGAAATTTTCTAAATTTTCTGGATTTCTGAAGAAAATAGAGAAGTAATTTCACACATACCCTAGAGAGCTGGGAACATTTTTGCTTTGTCATGAAGATAAAAATGGTAAAGTTTATGAAATGTGCCTATTTTATCCTCGCCTGGGTGAAAAGTCATGTACATACAATCACACAGGGCAATGCTCAGAGAAAACCTGCCATGGTGCCTAGTAACCCAGCGTGATTTCCAAATAGGCTCTGCAAAGAGCCTCAAACAACCATAACTCTTGGAAAAGCATGCCAAAACAGCATCATCAGGAAACACTGTGTTAAATTAACGCTACATGCAATCTGGATGCAACAAGGCCCATGATCTGCTTTTGAGAGAACAAGAAAGACACAAAGAGTCAGCCAAACATGGACACTAGAAAGAGTGCTCCACCAAGGTTGGTGCATGATCACAAGGAAACAGTCTTCCAGGCCCCTGGGACCTTGCTCATATGAACTTATAGCAATGGTGACAGTATGCACAAGACCCATGCAAACTCAATCAGACAAAAACCCAACATAAAACTGGAGAAATGGGCAGCAGGCCCTAACCTTAACTGAAGAACTATTGGCATCTGATTACTGCTGGGTGGTGGGGAGTTGATCTCCTTTAAGGGAGAGACTATAGATAGGCTGACCCCAGTGGATGAACTTGTACTGAGAGACATCTGGGTGCACGAACTTAACTCAACAGGCCTTAACATATATGACAGAATGCATTTGGTGGGGGAGGGAAAATGGGGGAGTGCAGATGGGGTATAAAGCTCATTGAGATGTTTTGTATGAAATGTACAAAAATTAAATAATAATAATAATAATAATAATAATAATAATAATAAAAAGATGAGTGCTCTGCAACCAAGATGTTTCATGTTGTTCCTGAGCTGAGTCCAAAGACATCATGATTTCTTCTGGCTGGCCTTTCATAATTGGAGCTTATTTTCCAGATGTTAACTCATTTTGTTTTTCTGAGCTCACCAGCAGGCATTTATGTGGAATAAGACTCCCCCAAATTGCTATGCATATTTGAGGGATATAGGTATTTTGGTAAAAAAAAAATCACTCTATATTAAGAATTCAAACCAAGTTATGGTTCTATTTTCACCAACAGAAAACAAATCTTACTACCTCCATGATGTGATTAGATGAGCCCGATATCACTACATATTCAATTCAAATAAGTCAATCACTTGAATAAATCACAAGGGGGAATTAAAACATAGTAATAGCTAATGAATGCAAAAAATCCTACAAAGTTAATATGCCAAATTAAGTGTAATGAATCTCTAGAAAGATATCTTATGCCAATGAAATTCAGAACAATTTATTTTCCAAATATTATTCTTTTCTGTGCAGTCAGATCTATGCCATCAATTTTCTGGGATAATATGCTTTCTACACTGTGGCAGACGAACAAAATTGAATCTAACAGTCTCTTAGCAACTGCAGATGCTTTTAAAGTCTTTTGATGATAACTTAGGTCAATGATTTGAAGGTCTTTTTAGAGAGGCAATGCTTAAGCCAATGTTTCACAAAGTTTAATCTAAACCTATGATTATTCACACCCTGCATCTAGAGCTCTAGAAATTTTTTGTTATTACAGTCCCAAACTCTGAAAGACTAGCTCATGGCTAGGTAATGTGTGCAATGTTCAAGTGCTACCAGAGCCATCTCTCCAGCCCTCATTCTTCTTTTTAAAAATATTTTATTTATTTTATGTATATGAGTGTTCTGCTATATGTATGTATGTATGCATGTATGTATGTATGTATGTATGTATGTATGTACACATGTGTGCAGTGCCCTTGGAGGCCACCAGATCCCCTGGAACTAGAATTGCAGAAGGTTGTTAGCCACCACATGGGTGCTGGGAACTGAACTTGGGTTCTCTGCAAGAATAGCCAGTGCTCTTGACTGCAGAGCCGTCTCTCCAGCCCCTAAATCACTCTTCTTATGTGCACTTAGGTAAAGTAGCAAGCTGTGCAGTGGAGGCCTTCTCTCTTCATCACATACCTAGGTTTTGCCACATGCTAAAAATTTCACAGCCCATGGTTACCCTCATATCACCATACCTGAAATAGAAAAATAAATCAAAACTGATGCAAAATTTCCAGAACAAAGAAGTACTTGTGATTCTTTAGAATACAATTTATCATTCTAAACTTGAAGGCAAGACAGTTTTATTTTTTTCTTTTTGAGACAAGATTTCCCTATAGCCCCAACTGGCCTGGAACTCACTATGTAGACCAGGATGGCTTTGATCTCACAGAGATCTGCCTGCCTCTGCCTCCCAAGTGCTGGGATTAAAAGTCTGTACCACCACACCCAGCAATACAAGACATTTTTATTTAAAGATATTTAATGAACATGTCCTAGTACCCCAAGTCAAATACCCACATAAACTCATAACTTTTGGTTTCTATAATAGTTTTGAATCCTGAAAATTCAGAAGAAGAAAAAGTGTAAAAAAGTTCAAAATACTGGTTTCCCTTTTTTAAAAAAAGCCTCAAAGAATTGCTTTGGCACATGTTATTTCCAGTTTGGGTCATTCTTATTTGTTAATGACGTTAATAAACATCTTTTCAAAGGCAGTATTTCCCACATGGTACTTACTTTTCTAATACCTTTTTCTTTTTGGAAGGTGTGAACATCTCCAGTTGCAAACACAACTGGTTTATAAAAATTACTGCAAGGTAAAAGTAGGAATCCCAGATCTAAAACAAGAACAAGATACTTAAAATAGCATTGTGCTACAGAAAAGTACGCATGAACTGATACAATACCTTAGATCTACTTCAAAAGCAGTGAATCGATGAGAACAAAGTTGAAACAAGATTGGCCATGTCTTGCTAACAGCCTCAGCTGTATGTGAACATACAGGACCATTATACCACCTTACTTTTGTATAAAGTATGCTTGAAATTTTCCATAGTAAAGTAATGAAATTAAAGAAAAACTGTTTAGGTATTGCTTCAAATTTGAATTACAGAGTCCATGAGCTCTCTGAAATATAATAAGTGGTAGACAGGTAGACATTTTCTTTTTTCTTTCCTTTCTTTCTTTTTTTTTCTTTTGATAAGTCTGAGTCTCTCCAGGTAGGCCTAAGTACCATATATTCATAAATTATATGTGTGAATTCATTTTTGGAATTCCTTTTAATGTAGAACTTTTAAAAATGCATTCACATCTTTAGATGTGATGGTAATTGCTTTAAATTCAGAAAGTATTTAAAAATTCCCTGTTCAGACAAATTTTTTGAGTCTAAGTTTTCTTGCACCAAATAGAGAATCAGAAAGACTTCAGGATAAAATTTCCAGATATTAACCGTGAAGGGAAAACACATAGGGCATGATGGAAGGAAACTATGTCCTCATTGATACTATGGAAAAGCAAACATTAAAAAAAAAAACAAGCAGAAACATGGCAAAGAATATCTGTGATAATATGCAGACAACACAAATAAAAAAGAAATTCCAATAAAAATATTTTTGAAGAATTTACTTTATTTTTATTTATATGTATATGCATGTGTATCTGCCTATGAGTATATGTCACATGTGTGTGGCTCCATGGAGGCCAGAAGGTGTCACATCCCCTGGATCTGGAGCTGCAGGCCACCTGGACATAGGTGCTGGAACCTGTACTTGGTTAAGTACAGTAAGTGCTCTTAACTGCTGAACCATCTCGCCAACTCCTTCAACTAAAAATGTTTATCTGAAGAACTAAGGGTGCATGCCAACTTTAATTTCACAAGAATGTATATTGAAATAATAATTTACAAGAATAAAATAGTGCCGAAAAACAAGTATCAAAAAGCAGAGGGCCGAGGATTAAGCTTAGTGGCAAAGCACTTGCCTAGTATGCATCAAACAAATAAACAAAAAGTTCCCAAATCTTGTTAAAAATAGAAGTTTAGCTATGAAAATTCAATATATTATATTCACAGTAATCATTACAGGGTAACATATAATCATTAAAATTTCATTGTGTTTGTACTTTCTGCATTTTTGCATTTCCAATCTTATTAAACATTTAATCTTGAACATGTTACTAAAAAACAGGAAATAAGTAATGAATAGAACCATCATTGAGAAGGGAAGTCAGGATAGAAAGGCATCCAGGTACAGCATCAGTGATCCTGCTGATGGAGAGCCCTGCCTGGAAGAATCACACTAACAACTCAGAGCTTTTCATTAATTCATTCCAAAAAGGGGGATGCTAGAAAAGAAGTGCTTATTTTTTTAAATCATTTTTTCTTTATATAAACTATTTTTAAAGTCTTAAAAACATGGGTTAAATGCCCTTTGTCACATACTGGAATCATACTTAGAAGAGGAAGAATTTAAATTTAAAACTAATATGGCCCAAGAAAATAAGTTAGGTACCTCTTCAAAGTACATGAATCTTGAGCACAAGCCAGACAGTCATAGAATAGATACTTACCTTATAATCAAAGTTTTCATTTAAGAAGTTCTTGCGAAGTGCATCTGAGAGGTACAGAACTGTTGTAATGATAACACTAGTGATTAAAAAAAGAGAAAACATATTCTGAGCTGAAGCTTCAGATTAGTGAAAATCATTTGATAGATAAGAATAAAACTCATCTAAGATAAAAGAAAAGCTCCTTAGTAGGCATTGGAACAATGACAGGTGATTCAAAAAACTAAAACAGAAAAGAATCTATTAATAAGTCAGTTTCTTTGCAAATGGATGCACAGAAAGATTTATAAACTCAAATGATTCAGAAAGAAATATATCTTGATATCTAATAATATTTTTATTAATTTCTGAACAAAGCAAATGTACCTAATGCAAATATAACATCCTGTACTTTATGAAAGAAACAGAGCCTAAAGATGCAATAAATGGGATAAAATGACAGATGCACTGTGCACTAGATGCCTCTCCCTACCCTTCCTCATTTAAGTGTTAGGGGACATGAATGGACTATGGAAGGCAGAGTCACTGTTAGGGTGACCAGACTGCCACTAAAGAGACAATTACTGTGAAAGTGTCAGTAACCAGGGACTAACCTGTGTAAAACAGTGCCACAGCCACTCCAGGCAAGGGCAGGGAAGTATGAAGGGAGGCTAACTGAGAAAGCCATACCTAAATTCTACATTTATCTTGTTTGGGGAATTCAGAAAGAAGGATTTGGTGAGGGTTCTTGCTTACTTCTAGTTAGAGTTCTATAATTTGTTCAAAAATCTCCTTTCTTTTTTGACAGGGTCTCCTAGTTCCAGCCTGCCTGTAAGTCACTATGTGGACCAGGCTGGCCTCCATCTCACAGAGATCCCTCTGTCTCTGACTCCCAAGGGCTGGGATTAAAGGTGTGCACCATCACACCCAGAATTAAATCTGCTCCTTTTTATAGCCAGGAAAGTATATATGAAAATTCGAAGGTGTTTGCAATTGGCTAATTTAATGTTGAAACAAGATAAGCTAACAGTTTATTATAAACCAAGTACTGATATATAATAGGTTGGTATCTAAAACTTCTTTACCCTGTTCTGAGATGAATGTGCAATGCAGGATCAGGATGAGATAACACCCCAGTTCTCCTCATAAGATAAAATGAGATGGAGCAAAACACCTACTCCTGTTACACAAATGGTAAATATACAGGTTAAAGAATATTTACTAATTAAAGTAATATTTATGGTCACTGAAGGACATAATTATTCATTACTGTTATCATTCGCTGGAGAATTCACTATTGCACCCTTTTGTAGTGTAGGGAAACATTAGCAAGGTTGGAGGATTGAATGTAGACGTTCAAGGTAAAAGAGGAAAGAACTTCATGAGCACCTGTTCTGCTGTGAGGGGTGGGGCGTGTTACATGTACATTTTGAATAATTCATTATACTTTTCAAACAATTTTACTATGAGAGTATTAAAAAAAAAACAAACCCAGAAGACTGAGAATTGCAAGTTTCCTCAGCTCCCTGAATGGCAGACATCACTAGCAAATGTTACACTAGAGATGAATCGCCTGCAGACTGTGAAAAGTGGTTGCTTTGTGCAGATGCTGGCAAAAGCAATGATGAGAGAGGCAGGCGGATCTCTGTGACATCGAGGCTAGCCTGGTCTACACAGCAAGTTCCAGGCCAGCTGAGGCTTACAAGGAGACCCTGTCTCAAAACAAACAAACAACAACAACAATTACAAAATGATGAAAATTTAAAAAGTTACAGAGGTCCCCCAAAAGATTTTCCTCAAATTTGACATGAAACTAAAGCCAGAAGATGAAATCCTATCAGGCTAGAAGCAGCTCTTTGTCTAGCATTTAAAGGACTTCTAAGTTTAATGGAGAGAATTTTAGGGGCCTAGAGGTGCAACTCAGAGGTAGAATATGTGCTTGGCATTTGGAATAGCCTGGGTTCAGTCCCTAACATCAAAATCAAGCAAAGAAATGCTCCAAAAAGCCAACAAACCAAGAAAATTTTGTATTCATGTGTGTGTTAATGTATATGTGTGTGTTACTCATGTCCACATGTGTATTTGCAGAGGCCAGAGCAGGAGAATGTCTTTTATCACTTTCATTCAATCTTATTCCCTTGAGATAGGGTCTCTCACCTGGACCCTGCTGTTTTCAGCTGGGCTGGTGGCCAGCAAGTTCTAGTGATCCTCTTGTCTCTTGTCTCTGCCCCCTAGCACTGAGATTAGAGGCCTGCACCTCCATACATAGCTTTTTTTTTTTTTTTTTGTCTTTTTGAGACAGGGTCTCCCTTTAGCCCCAGCTGTCCTGGAACTCACTATGTAGACCAGGCTGGCCTTGAACTCACAGAGATCTGCCTGCCTCTGCCTCTGCCTTCCAAGTGCTGAGACTACAGGAGTGTGCCACCATGCCCAGCGGCTTTTTTGTTTTAAAGCTTTTTGAGACACGGTCTCCCTGTAGTTGGCCTGGAATTTGCTATGTAGACCAGGCTGGCACCAATCACACAGAAATCCACCTGTCTCTGCCTCCTGAGTGCTGGGGTTAAAGGTGTGCCCCACCACACCCAGCTCACATACCTTTTTATGTGAGTGCTAAAGATCTGAACTCAGGTCAGCGAGTGCTGTTACTCACTGAGCCCCAACCTTGAAACTTAAACTTTTTGCTTTGATGTTCAATGGAGAAATATATAGTCCCACTACACTAGAGCTTTACATAGAAAACCACCGTCTGATCCATGAATCCAGCTTGGATTATTGGAAATAGGAACATGTACAATCAGTGAAACTTGACATGTCTGAGATTTTGGACAGCTAGGCCTAATGTCCTAGAAAGGAATGGACCAACTCAAATTTCCAACTGAGTAATTCCCAGCAAGGATTACCAAATTATTATTTACATAGTATGTCACAAACACACAAGTAACATTCATGGCTTCTTAAGCTGCACTTGGTGATACATAACATGCGAACTCCGTAGTCTTGGTACTGGAATCACTGAAGATTTTCAAAAACAGACTTAGGGTCTCCCCATAGGAGACTTTAACTGGCCCTGGACATCGAGTTTTCCAGAGCTCCCAGGTGATTCTTGAGTGTACCCAGAGCTGAGCGTCAATGTTCCAAAGTACTTTTGTGATCTCAAACTTCAATGGGTACCTGGTGACCTAATTAACATGGAGATTATCAGTCAGCCTGCAGTGGTTCTTGGGAGTCTATATTTCTAATACACTACAAGTGATGGTAATGCTCTTGGTCTCTAAAGCACCCTTTGAAGAGGAAGGCTCTAGAGAAGAGTGAGTCAGAAAAGCAAGCATTCCAGAAATTCTGCATCCACATTCTCCTGACTGCAGGAATTTCAGCAGATTCTTAGGATCTTTAAAATAGCTTGTAGATCTTACAGCTAGAGTGACGCCCTCAGCCTCATCTAAGCTGCCTGCTCTCCCAGCTCAAAAAGGAACAGGGTGTTTTCAGTGGCTTTGCAAAATACTGAGACTTGAGAAAATATTATGGGTGCAAATTAGTACTATAAAAGAAAAACCAAGATGTGATCAATTACATACCTGCAGAATGTAACAATACATTTCATTAATTGCCCAATTTAATATTTGTACAATGTTTTGCTAAGTTGAAAACTACAGGTTACCTCTTGTACCTTTGTAAGAATTCCTAAATATGCACAAATGTTGATAAATAATAATAATAATTATTATTATTATTATTTTGGTCTTTTTGAGGCAGTGTCTCCCTATAAGCCCAGCTGGCCTAGAACTCACTATGTAGACCAGGCTGGCCTCTGCCTCTACCTCCGAATTGCTGGGATTGAAGGCATGCACCACCACGTCCGGCTTAAATGTTGATAAATTATAACCAATCAAAATTAAATGATTTCCAGCTGGGTGTGGTAGCGCAAGCCTTTAGTCCCAGCACTTGGGAGGCAGAGGCAGGCAAATCTGTGAGTTTGAGGCCAGTTGGGGCTACAGGGAGAGCCTGTCTCAAAAAGACCAAAAAAGACAAAAAACAAAACAAAACAAAACCCCACAAACAAATTAAATGGTTTCCTTATGTGCCAGTAAATCGTTTTCCTCAGAATAGCTATTTAATATGGTATCAAAGCTGTTTAGTTTGGTAAGAGTAGGCCCTCCAAAAATAAGGCTTCTCAAGGCTAAAAAGCTCTTAGAATTACTACTTCAAATGACTTTCATTTATGCCCAATGCCTCTAAATCCCAGTCATAGGGCCAGCTCCCTGAGCTTGCCATGGTAACTCAGCCACAGCTTCCCAGCACAGAGGTCCCCAAGCCAGCTAAAGGCATAGTTTAGTTTATTGCTCCACTGTGCTGAATGAGCTGATAAACTTTCTTTACTTGTTCCCATTTATTTAAAGCCATGTGGCTCCTCTGGTTTCATCTTTTTCCTCATGACTCAGTTTCTGAACATGGGACTATTTCAGATCTTAAATGCTCCAACTCAACAGTGAAGAAAGGTTTGCAATCTGCTACCCCAAATGGCCATATTACTGGCTCTGTCACAGACATGCAGGCACAAGGATCACTTTTGACAGCCATCATCTCCGTGGGCACAGAACGAAAAAATCTATTCAGGAAAGAGGAACTGGCACACAGGGACAGAAGTTACTGCTTTGGGTATTTCAGTTGTCACTTCATCTTGTGATTTAGAATGATCGTCAATCAACCTTTTCTGCCCCTTGCTTGCCCACCCCCAAAGAAAATTCATCTCCCGTAATGAAAATCCATTTTCTGTAATTTGTTCTTTCAAAAGCTATTCCAACCTGAAAATCTGCTCAAGCATAAGGCCATCTCCAATCATACACCGACCAAGATGGACACCTTTTACATAAACTGAGCATTCACAATGTTTATATTTTGAAAAACTGGGAAAACGAACCCAAAGTATGGCTTCCTTATAACCTGTTAACTGGGGCCAGCAGAAATCAGCACAAAGGCACTGAAGGCAGGTGAATCCATCTAAGCTAGGGGTTCTGAAACTTCAGCATGCATGAGAATCACCTGAAGGACAAACAACCTCAGGGCCTCAGTACCTCCCGTGGCCTGGTTGGGTCTGTAACC